TTTTTCACATTTCCTCAGATTCAATTATTAGGCATGTTAACAGTCTCATTATTTAACTAATAAGATGCGTAAAAGTGTTTGTTTGACATTTCCTGCATCTTTACAACATTGTTAGTTGATTATGTAAAAATGATTAAACTTTTTATCGTGTATTGTGTAATAAAGTGTCAAAAATGGAAATAAACTCATATCATTGCAGTTTGTCAGATTCAATCATCCACTATGTTCAGAATCTCAGAATGGAGGAAATTGGACATTTAACACTGTTCTATTGATATTTTTCCAATATCATTAATTTTCTTAGTTGATCATATAAAAATGGCAGTAAACTGTTCATTTTGTTTTATGTTAAAAAAGTGTTAAAAATGGAAATAAACCCATGTCAGAACAGTGCTGTCTTGTTAAAATTTGATGTTGAATTTGCAGTTTAACATTATGTACTTTTGCATCAGAATTGGCAGTAGCCTATTTTGTGCATAGTTATTTCCTGCTTTTTGTCTGTACATTTGACAGCTTTGCTGCCTTGTTTATTTTTCAAATTAACAAGTATCCAGACCCCTGGAATGTTCTTTTCCACTTCACATAATTTCTCCTTAATTTCTTCTGTTCAGTGATAACAATTTTTTTTGAAGTATCACAATTTGTAAGACTGCAAGTTTTTTTAAACCTGAATGCCAATCTTACGGCTTATCTGTTCATTAACCAGGAGCAACTGCTGGCCTGTTCTTATTGTTTCTTGTAAGAATTAAAGAATCTTGTACAAGAAATAAGCTCTTTTCCTTTAGTGACTTTCTATTTTGATCGGTACACTGGTCTCTCTGTGTAAGGTTTTGGTTTCATTTTATTTTTTCCACTGAATATTTGCTGGGGCCTGTTTCACGAAGCAGTCGTTAGTTAGAATAACTAACTACTGAACTATCTCGTTAATGAGCAAACTTAAGGGGTGTTTCACAAAGCAGTCGTTAACTCATCGTTAAGTTCAGTCGTAAAGTTCGGTCGTTAGTTGTCTCGTTACTCACTGTAGTCTCGAAACAGTCTGCCGGAAGTGGAACTCTTGCGTAAAAGAGTCATGAAAGCACTAACTCTCCAATTTTTGGCGGCTGGAAATACATAAGAAAGTCTGCTTTGAGGTCGTCGAAAAGGATCTTCACCACCTTTTTGCCGCTCTTTTTGTCACAGCTAGGCGCAACCTCGTAAATTGCATCATCGCATATATATTCTAATAGATTCTGCCTATCATGAAAACGTCTTAGTCTACGTTGCCGTCTGGCAGTAGCTGCTGTAGAAAGGTAGCTGCCATATTGGATACAAAGACAAACGAGAGACAACGGTAACTAAGCAATATTTCTATTTCATTTATTACGCATGCGTACGATGAAACTCTAAAGTTACTAACTGGTCTGACCAGTCTTTAAATGTCCAAGGTAACAACGACAAAATAACGAGCGAGAGAACTAGCAATAGCTTCGTGAAACGGCACTCATAACTAGCGAGAGGCTAACTATCGATTGCTAACTAAATACTGCTTCGTGAAACGGGCCCCTGTTGAGTCTAGTTAATTTATGAGATCCCCCTATTCACTTTTGACAGCAGCTATTGGGTATGTGTATTCAGCATATCTCACTTTGTTTACTTTCTTCTCTCAGAGGAAGCCTATTTTCCTAAGTTGTTGATATCATTTATCATGATTTATCAATTATTCAGAGATGATATTTTTCTGAATAGCAGAGGATTTCTGACTATTATTTACCTAGGCGGGCCCCCAGTAGTCCAGGCCACATTTTCCAACTTTTTTACTTATTTGCAGTCTCATCCCTGATTATAATTATTTTACACATTTCTATCTTTTGGGTCCTTAATGATGGTTATCATTATGTACAACTGTATACTAGTAATGTATTCCCCAAAATTTGCAGCCTATTTCTTCATTAATTTCTGTGGGAATTGTTGCCAGAAGGACTTCTATCACACCAGTCTGGTGCCCTGGCACAAATAACCAGTCTATACCATTATGGGATTAGAGTTCTTCAGCCATACAGCCCTGATATTCTGCCAGGGTTTTCACATTATCTGTAAAAATGAAGGTATTATTCAGTATAATTAATGTATAAGAAGGAATCTCTCACTTAAGGTCAACATGGTATTGCCCATTAAAAGGTTAATGTGGTCACCACATGAGGACATTATGAGTCACATCAACAGGATCGTGAAATATCTTCTGAATCTGAGTAAGAAGATCCAACAAAAAAAAAATGATCTCAATCTCTGAATCTGGTTAAGAAGAACTAACAACAACAAAAAAAAATGAACTCGATCTCTGAATGATGATGATGAACAGAGGTGTGTTCATATTATGGAAATGGATTTAAGATGTAGTATCACCTTTCATTAAGACAAGTTCAGTAGTTTGCTGCATTACTAGCTTTGCTTTTCCAAGCACATATCACACTGAGCAGTGACTATCATATCATGTATATCAATCTATGTATAGAGATAGTCATATATGAATTTCAGTTGGTATTATAAAAACTCCAAATAGAATTTAGTGCCATTAAAACCTGTGACTGGAGTCACAATAGTGAGGTGATCATACTTGGTTTGATTGGTCTTCTTTTGTGTACATAGAGAATACCTTCAGTCATTAACCCCCTTTAAATAAGTAATCTATTTATATTTGATAAAAGAATAATAACATAAAAGGTTGGGTATTGTGGGAACATCTGTCATAGTAGACTAAAACCTGGGGCTGGTCTATTACAAAAGAACTTGAGCCAGAAAATTGGTCTAAACTTTAAGATCAAAATATGGTTTGCTTCAGTTTAAGATAAATTTGTAGTAGTCCACATGACTTAAGTGGGTATGGGTCTGAAACATTAGTCATAAAAACAGATGCAGTATTCTATTTTTAAAATCTATATATCTTGGGTCAAAGTTGATGGAAATTTTAGTTGTGAAGCTAAGCCAAATTTTCATGCTAAAATTCTGTGTAACTTGCCTGGTTGGACCCGACTCATCAGAAAGATGACTAAATAAGTTGAGTATAAAATTGTTGTGGAGTAGACAGAAGACCTTTCAGCCAGAGTAAAAGATTAAAAATGTAAGAAAAAACTGTTTATTGTTTGAGAATAATACCAGGACAGAATGTGTAGTCACTGACAGGCTAATTGAAGGGATATTGGATGTCTGGACTTGAAATGTCACCTGAACCTTATATATTATGTTGATGTCTTTTCAAGGCCAAAATATTTAAAAACGATCAAAGCTTAAATCTCTATTGGTCAATTGTCAAAATCTCCATTGAATGAAGAATTGTACACTGATAGATTTGTTCATCATAAACCAAAGGTTGTTATGTTTTATTGTTTGATTATTTCATTGAATAAATACTCTGGTTATGAGAACAGAAAGGCCATAATGTGCTTTATGTCATCTTTAATTTGGGCAAACATACCATACACCATATTTACCTTCGTAGTATATTGTCACCTCCAAAGAGTATCAACAGCTATGTGAATTCTTAATAGTTATAAACACCCCAGTTTTCATTCATATTTAAGGGAAAAAATAATAACTAAGTTAAAACATTGATGGCTTAACAGGCATTTCCTTAAGTTGTAGATCTAATGACACCAAGTTGTAGACATAAAAAAAACACTTGAAAGGAGTTTACTATGTTAAGGTATATGCCTAGGGGAAAGGATGTTATTAGTCAGCTGCTGAACACCACATCATTTCCAATACTAACAGCATTCCCAGCTTGCCAGCAGTGCCTTCTAGTATACCACATATAGTATATAACCTTCCTAAGCTCACAGATCCGGGTATCAGGCAGATTTACACTGGAGCCCTGATACATGTAAGGTGTCAACTAACCTTATTGACACCATATATCTTACAGGTGGCACCTGCTTAACTTGCATAGACTTACATATAAAGCTCCTGCACTCTATTGCAATAACATCAACTGCTGGTTGGAATGATGGTTTTTGATATAGACCCAGTAGTGAAGAGCAGAGGAAGCCAAATAAATACCTGGACTTATATTGATGAAGTAACCCAGGGAGAGAATTATGAAAATGAGAAGGCTCCCTAGCTGGTTTGCCAGAATTCAGTTTTAGGCTCACAGCATATCTTTTCCATGCCATTATTTTTAAATGCCTATGAACAAGTATTGTCTCCTAACAGACTGATGTGTATATATACTTATACAGAAAGACCAAAAAGATAGAGACAGTGCGATGATGATTAGATGTGTGAGCTCACTTAACCAAAATGTTCTGACTTTCATTGTCACTAAATCAGGGATGATTAAGTAAAAAGCAACATCATCTCATTTCTATTTTTGTAATCCAAAGCAAAATATTTTCAGCTTATTACATGTAAATTTCTTTGAATGTGATCTAGTGATTAGATTGGTTTGGTAATTTGTGCTCACACTCCAATATTGACTTTATATACAATTAAAAAAGAAGTGGTTTGCCATTAGACTTTTTTAAGGTAATGAGCCAGTAAAGTCATCAGTTAATCAGGCAAGAATAAATCACTGTAAAATGTAGGAACGGCATAGCTTTATTTTTACCCACAGACCTAGCATAATAGTCCATGGAAAAACACAGACCCATGATGTGAAATAAGATAAGGTTGTTTGTGCAAGAAAACCAGCCGTCTGATAGGAAATGATGTGTTGTTGCCAAGGGAAATTATTGAATTGATATGGGCTATACAGTTGATTATACACCATGCCCTGGTAATCACATGATTATTCAGGGTTTTTCCCCCCTATTTTTGCAGAGGTGTAGTGTCTTTGCTTTGAGGTATAATTTTTAGAATGAAATAATAAAAAGAATACCAGGATGTATATCTTTAAAATAACCAACCTTGAAATCACTGGATTCTTTTTGAAAGCTGTTGTTGCTGACTATTGTGCCTTTGTGATGGAAATCTAAATTATACCTGTGAGAAGTTAAAGATGTGTCAAGCCTCACACATTACCACCCCATACAGGTGTGGCTGAAGACTATTGAAGCATAGTTGATAAATTTGTTTTGCTTTTTTATTAAAAGAAGAAGATATTAAAGTATTGAACTCTTAATTTCTGAACATGTAGCCCATTGTGTTCGCTCCAGGAAGAATAGTTTTTGTGAATGTTGCTTTACTAGTACTCTCTGCAAGATGTGATTGTAAAGAATATGGTGCTGTTATCTTGATTTTTGCTGTTTTATAATATTTAGATAGTGGATGTATACACAAAAATTGACTTCATAAGTTATAATACTAGCTCAAGATGGGAAGGGGATTGGGGGGTAGGGCAAGACTTACTCAACCTATTTATTTATTTATTTATTTATTTATTTATTTATTTATTTATTTATTTATTTATTTATTTATTTATTTGTTTGTTTGTTTCTCAGGTATTTGTATAAATTCACTTCTGATTGCTAATAAAATGCCTATTTTTGCAGACATTGTTTACACTTGCTGTACTGTGTCTCAATTGTTTATATTCTATCTCCATTAACATCAGCTTGGATATAAAAAAAAATTGCAGGAATTAAGAAATCAGTGTTTCTTTTTCAGCAAGCTCGAGCAGAGCAAGAGGAGGAATTTATCAGCAACACCCTCTTGAAAAAGATACAGAGCCTGAAGAAAGAAAAAGAAACATTGGCCATGAACTATGAGCAAGAAGAAGAATATCTGACAAATGATCTGTCCAGGAAATTGATGCAGGTTTGTGGCACATTCAGGGAGAAAATGATATAGGTGTGATGCACTGTCTGAAAACTATACAGCTGGTTGTGGCTTCATATGAAGTCTGTCATATACATGTTTTATAAGATAATGATTTGCAAATACAGAGAGGGTTATTTTCATGAAAAATATCAATGTAAGATGTGTCTTTTGGCTATTTTCTTTAAGATGTGATAAAAAACAGGACGTGAGTTAAAATTAGGTGGTTCGTCTATGACTGTTGTTTATCTGTGGTTTTCTGTGTATTCAGGAATAATTTTGCATTAAAATTGCAACACTTCTCCCTGCACCTGCATGAAATTCAAATAAATGATCACTAAGTATGCCAGAAGCAGTGGTTATCGGTCCTCTGTCTAGAGAATAATGAATTTACAGACACATTCTTCTACCTCTCCATATTCATAGTGTTAGGTTGTTTATGAAGTGAAACAGGAAGAGCCAGTGTGTGTATGCAGCTATTAAGTCTCACAGGATAGTAATTTGAAAGGATATGTGGAGAGAGTTAAAAGGGCAAAGCAATCCAGACCAAATCATCTTCATGGCTCTCATATTTGTGTCTCAATTAGATCAAAAAATTATGGTGACTGTTGTGAACATGAAAATATGTCTACAAAATATTTTTTATAGATTATTTGGATGAAATAGTTCTTTGAGAACTTTTTATTGTTCAGAATTTTTTACTAGTACTTCATGAATTATACAATACAAGTCCATTTCATAAAACATGGAGGTTTTTGTTAGATCAAAATTTTTTACTAGTACTTCATGAATTATACAATACAAGTTCATTTCATAAAACATGGAGGTTTTTGTTAGATCAAAATATAAATAGTTTTGAAATTCTTCCAAGTCTATCTTTGATGATTATGAGTCCAAATTGGGTTTTGATGATAAGATATTCATGTTGCTGCCACTGGGATGGCACCATAGTTGAGATATTATCTTACCACAACCAGACTGGTTGGAGATTATGATTTTATTTTTATTTAATTATTTATCAGGAGGTTATTTGAAAATGTTTTGGATGTGAAAGGCTTGGATTGGTAAAGTGCATTTAGTTTTATTTTGATATAACATTTTAGGTTATGAAAAAAATATTTTTATAATTGTAAAAGCACTATTGAAGACTTTCTTATTGTACCTCCAGTATTTTATCATACAATACCTTTTTTTACACATTTCAAATAGTACATAGTTCATTTTAAACAAAAGATCTGATGAAAAATAAAGGCATAATGACAGAAGAACAGAACCACATATATTGAAAACCTTAAAAATGGAAAAAAAAAAGGTTTCAAAGAGGGAATTAGAACAATGCATCCAGTGATTTTGAAAATGAAACATTTGTCATTTTGATATTTCAGTTGCGGCAGGAGAAGGTTGAATTGGAGCAGACCCTGGAGAAGGAGCAAGAGTATCAGGTCAACAAACTGATGAGGAAAATTGAGAGACTAGAAGCTGACACCCTGTCTAAACAAACTACTCTGGAACAGGTAGACCATCTTTACTAATGCAGGCATAGATCTCTCTCTCTCTGTTAGCCAACATTTATTGATTTAAAGAGAGAAAGACTCGGGCTGAACACAAGATATATCATTTCCTGGGAGGATTTCAAAAAAGAAGAAAAATAACCATGGTCTTGAAAATGGATTTTGTGCATCCTGTGATGGTTTTAACCAGGAAATTAAACTATGGGAATTTTGCATTTGCTGAGATGTTGGTTCAAGCACATTGCATTTTAGTCGTAATTTAGATGGGGTGTAGTTATTGCCTTGGGGAAGTTTATCAAAAAACTCTTGCACAATATAGTTAAGTAATGATTTCTCATGGGAGAGAGATAGGAGAGAAGGTGTTGAATAAACAATCATGTATCAGGGCACTTTTTTTGGCTTACAAAACTGTATTACCCTCTTGGGACTAACAGAGGAGATGTAGTGAACAGAATGTCGTCCTGTTATGATTATTGTTGTTAATATATTTATGTGCAGAAGAGAAGTATGTAGCTTAAACTGTGATGATTGAGCTTTGTGGGGATGATTTCAGCTTCGCCGAGAGAAGATTGAACTTGAAAATGCTTTGGAACAAGAGCAGGAGGGTCTAGTCAATCGTTTGTGGAAGAGGATGGACAAACTGGAAGCAGAGAAGAGGTGAGTGTGGCCATGTGGGGAGGTGCACTGATTTTGGGGATTTAACACATTATACCACAAGGTGAATAAGTGTGAAAATACACCACGAGTTTTATTTATTATTATTATTATTATTATTATTATTATTATTATTATATTTCATTTTTCTTAAGAGCCGGTTGTATTTGTCATCTTTTTGGTATGGCTCTATAATCAAATAAACTATACTTTTTTTAAACCTTATATCATTGATAATAGCTCAACTCGATATTATTGATCAATTTTCAGCATTTATGCAAGATAGCACTTGGAATATCGTGTTCATGCTTTTCTTAAATGTCTAAATATACATCACAAATACCAACTTGTAATCCATTATTTATGGAGTCTGAACAGTGTGAACTGAACAGCAGTGGTATAACTAAAAAAAAATGAGTGAGTTCTGCTTTTCAAGATAATTTATGCTCAGTCTTTCCTGGTGCCCTGCTTAAGGAAGTGACATATCCTTTTGATATAGGGGTTTACACCTGCTATTTGGTGCAACTGACAACACTAATCTCATCTTCAGAGACTGTGGATATCCAATTTCACTACTACACATCTACATATCAATTCCCCAATGATTAATTTCTTCCATTATAAATTATCCAAGTTGATGTTATTAAGTATTTGTCTTGAAGTCAACATGATGTAATCAATCCTGTGCTTTGATTCAGGATGTTACAGCAGAAGTTGGATCAACCGGTGTCCTCCCCTCCCTCACCAAGGGATATCAACAATGGAGACACTGCCGCCAATCTCACGCAGCACATAAATCGTCTGAGGAGTGAAGTATCTAGGCTCAGAAATCAACTAGTCACAGCACAGGCAGAGCGTAAGTCTGCTGAAATACAAAGCAACGTGTCTGATGTTTGTCTTGTGTAAATTTTTTAATTAGACATAATGTATGGTATTGGAGGCCCTGGCCGTGTTGAACACAATGAGCATTGCAACTCACTGGAGTGTACCGATTGGTAGAGCCAGATGCATTTGTTTACAAGTTACAAGTTTTGTTTATAGGTGAAAGTTTTTACTTTATTATGTTAATTCAATTTTTAGAGTTTGCTGTAGAGGATGCATATGATATTAAGCTTCTGTTGATTGCTTTTCTGAAATTAATCAGGGATCAAAAGGTGGGCTGGTCTTTAGGTGTATACTTGCGTGTGTGTATGTCTGTCTTTCAGCTGAAACTCGCAGAACTAAAATTGAGTTGATGAAAAAACTATTGGAGACATAAGGGACATATTATCACTTATATAAATTTCTTGATGTTTAGTTTACAGAAAAAGAGACTTGCATTTTTGTAAGCTACTACACAACCAAAAGAACGTCAATTTATCCCATTTTTGTTTCCTACCAGATGTCCAGAAGATGGCTCATTATCAAGAAGAAGAGAGACACATCAGAGAGGAAAACTTACGTTTACAGAGAAAACTGCAGATGGAGATGGAACGCAGGGAGTCTCTGTGCAGACATCTTTCAGAGAGCGAGTCCAGCCTCGAAATGGATGATGAAAGGTTGGTTACCAAGGTGACAGAAAGGTTGTCGTGGCCTTGAAGCTGGCAGTTGCTTCGAGAAATGCATCTAATATTGACCCCCTCCCTATGGTGTTGACCCTCTCTCATAGTCTTATATAGATTTGGACCAAATTGAAGAAATTGAGACTGGGTCCATTTCAAACACTCCTGTGATAATTCTACTTGCGATTTTGATTTCTCGTTAAAGTACCTAGTCTTATTTTTTACGTTTCTTCATGATCTCTTGTAAACTTTGTTGCTATTTCTTTTTTTATGTTACAGACATTTCAATGAGATGACAAAGCAGCATGAACATCAGCATGGCAAGCAGGAGGCTGGTGCCCGCCCTAGAACCGTGTCCAGTCCAATCCCTTACCAGTCTCCTTCACCCAGTAGTGCAAGGCCTATCTCTCCAGGTAGATGATTAGCATATTATGGATCTCTCTTTGTATTGTCCTATATAGTTAAAGATAATAGATCAGTAATTCATCTCAGGGACTAGTTTTTTTCAGAACATTGTTATTTCTTTATTTTAGTTATACTTTTGTTAGTCCAATATTTCATGTAAATCTGAAAATTTTTATAACAAGGAAAATAACAATTTCAACATTTTTTAAATTAAATGTATGTTCTTTAGCATTTTTGTATTATTCTGATAAGTTACATAATTGTTGATTCAATTTGTTCTATATTTGAGGTCTGGGTCACCTCCCGCCTGCAGTGACCCCCCCTGGGCCCGTGCGGTGTAGAGAGTGCGGCTTTGAAATGCAACTTGCTCATTCTTCTCCTTCCCATTACTCCCACTTTCTGCCAGGGACTTCCCCACCAGTTTTTAGTCACATTGCCAATGTAAGTACACTTTATGTGTATTGCTTAGAGTATCTTATTTGGTGTTTCTAAAATAGTGATTATCAGATTTGCTCTTGGTATATAAAGGTGCAGTTGCCTTTTGTTCTCATTCCTGTAAAATGACTTCTTAGAAGATGTTATTGTATGAAAGTCTTTAAAGTCTTTTAACAATTAAATGTTCCTAAGTGTTTCCAGTTAATGGAAATGGCTCTGTTATAAAGCAGTTCATGCCTGACCATCTTCCAGAGAGCCAGACCTGTTCCAGACAAGTTTGCCAAGCCAGCTCCCCCTGCTCAACAAACTCCAGACAAGTCAAACCCAAAAACTTAAACATAGATGGAGCCTTGTTCAAGACAAGATTTTCCAGATTGTCATCAGTGCGCAAGAGCTTGATATTGTTTGCCTTGTGTATTGTTTTTGTCTGCCATGCAGAGGTCAAATACCAGCATTAGAGAACTTTATCAACACGAAGGAATGTCAAATCTGTGGCATAAAACTTGGATGAAATAGTACACATACACACGTGCAAAATAATTAAAATTTGAAGATTTGTTGTTGTCATTGTCTGACATGCTTGGCTTTTGTGAAGTGACTTGGCATCCTTAATATCATTGCCAAGCTTCTGTTGCTGAAAGTGTACTAAAATCAGATGAAGCCATCATTGACTTAGTAACTGTGCACAGATTATACAAGAGTAAAAGCAAGTTGTTGACATTTTGGATTTGACATTCAGTGAAACACTTCAGATGTTAATATCTTTATTTTTACTAGTGTACAATGTTAAGTTCTACTTTTCTCAGAGCTAAATTGTCTGTACATTATTTGAAGAGTGCACCTTAGCCTAGCCCATATTTTCCAATTTTGTTGTGAAAATAAATTATGTCCAGCTATACTTCAAAGCAGGTGATGGGCTTCCTTAATTAAAGGGAAAACATGCTTCATTGCAAAGCATTTTTAAAGAATCTGTGAGTTGGAATACTTACAGGAAGTGAGACACTTATTTTGAAAATCTGGTGAGCATTGTATACAAGCAGTGTACCAGAATTTACTTTAGAATTATTCACTTTAGTAAAGTAAAAAAAGGATCCACTATTTGAATTTGTAAGATAGCATTGTTATGAGTTGCAAAATGGATTCTAGTCCTTTATTTATTTATTTATTTATTTATTTATTTATTTTTGCAGAAAAGATTATTGATATAAGTTGCCAAGTCGTGTATTTTGGTTGTGAATTACAAGGCCCATATAAGTGATATTTGTTATGTTTTAAATGGGGATGCTGCTTCATGCATTTCAATACATATGCCATTGCCTTAAATATATGCCTCAGCTTTAATTTCTTAAATAACATGATTTAATTTGTTTTATAGTTGAGGTAAATATTTGTTTCCTGGTGTTGATGTTCCATGTAATAGACTACACATTTAAATGGATAATTATAGTTTTTTTTTGTGCTCTATCAGACGTTCCTGCTGTTTAAGTTTTCTTCTACATAGCTCATTCTCTTTTTCTTTTTGTGCTGATCAGTGACGGATTACTTATAATTATATAAAAATGGAAAACGAGCAAGATGCTCTGTTTAAGGTAGTTTACAGCCTGTGATATTTATGACACATGACAGTTAATGATCAAAGGCAATGTTTAGATTTTAACATATACTTAATTTTCAAACATTAATTCCCTTTNCTTAGAAGATGTTATTGTATGAAAGTCTTTAAAGTCTTTTAACAATTAAATGTTCCTAAGTGTTTCCAGTTAATGGAAATGGCTCTGTTATAAAGCAGTTCATGCCTGACCATCTTCCAGAGAGCCAGACCTGTTCCAGACAAGTTTGCCAAGCCAGCTCCCCCTGCTCAACAAACTCCAGACAAGTCAAACCCAAAAACTTAAACATAGATGGAGCCTTGTTCAAGACAAGATTTTCCAGATTGTCATCAGTGCGCAAGAGCTTGATATTGTTTGCCTTGTGTATTGTTTTTGTCTGCCATGCAGAGGTCAAATACCAGCATTAGAGAACTTTATCAACACGAAGGAATGTCAAATCTGTGGCATAAAACTTGGATGAAATAGTACACATACACACGTGCAAAATAATTAAAATTTGAAGATTTGTTGTTGTCATTGTCTGACATGCTTGGCTTTTGTGAAGTGACTTGGCATCCTTAATATCATTGCCAAGCTTCTGTTGCTGAAAGTGTACTAAAATCAGATGAAGCCATCATTGACTTAGTAACTGTGCACAGATTATACAAGAGTAAAAGCAAGTTGTTGACATTTTGGATTTGACATTCAGTGAAACACTTCAGATGTTAATATCTTTATTTTTACTAGTGTACAATGTTAAGTTCTACTTTTCTCAGAGCTAAATTGTCTGTACATTATTTGAAGAGTGCACCTTAGCCTAGCCCATATTTTCCAATTTTGTTGTGAAAATAAATTATGTCCAGCTATACTTCAAAGCAGGTGATGGGCTTCCTTAATTAAAGGGAAAACATGCTTCATTGCAAAGCATTTTTAAAGAATCTGTGAGTTGGAATACTTACAGGAAGTGAGACACTTATTTTGAAAATCTGGTGAGCATTGTATACAAGCAGTGTACCAGAATTTACTTTAGAATTATTCACTTTAGTAAAGTAAAAAAAGGATCCACTATTTGAATTTGTAAGATAGCATTGTTATGAGTTGCAAAATGGATTCTAGTCCTTTATTTATTTATTTATTTATTTATTTATTTATTTTTGCAGAAAAGATTATTGATATAAGTTGCCAAGTCGTGTATTTTGGTTGTGAATTACAAGGCCCATATAAGTGATATTTGTTATGTTTTAAATGGGGATGCTGCTTCATGCATTTCAATACATATGCCATTGCCTTAAATATATGCCTCAGCTTTAATTTCTTAAATAACATGATTTAATTTGTTTTATAGTTGAGGTAAATATTTGTTTCCTGGTGTTGATGTTCCATGTAATAGACTACACATTTAAATGGATAATTATAGTTTTTTTTTGTGCTCTATCAGACGTTCCTGCTGTTTAAGTTTTCTTCTACATAGCTCATTCTCTTTTTCTTTTTGTGCTGATCAGTGACGGATTACTTATAATTATATAAAAATGGAAAACGAGCAAGATGCTCTGTTTAAGGTAGTTTACAGCCTGTGATATTTATGACACATGACAGTTAATGATCAAAGGCAATGTTTAGATTTTAACATATACTTAATTTTCAAACATTAATTCCCTTTCAATAAATTAAAACCATTTGAGGTCTGAGGCTTCATGAAGTAATTTGTGGCACAGAAAGGCACTCAAGCCCCCAAATTAGTAGCTTAAAAATGATATATCCATGGTGATTGGCACAAGACAATGTTTTAACTTTCAGTTCCCAGTTGAGGAGAGAAAGCTGAATATGCTTTTTATGAAATGTTGCTTATTCTGTTTTGTACATCTTTATATTGTCACCTATAAAGGTAAATATAATATGATGTAAATGTATTTGCTAATAAATATTATACATGGTAATTTTTTGTAAGGGTTTATTATACCAAAAGGGATGCGTGAGTGTACATGTAAATGATTTGAAATCGTCAATTAATAAAAAAAAATCTCGAATTACTTTCTATTGACAAAATAAATGCATGGGTACCTTGTGGTGTCTTCTGTGACATTTCCAGATGACTTAACGTGTAACTAAACAAGGAGTAATGCCCTATTAAATGGATTTAAACTGCCGTTTCGATACTTTCATCGCAACTCCCAACATCACCTGCACCGTATTCCTATTATATGCCATCTAAATGCTTTTGCAGAAAACTTGTAACTTGGCAATAAACTTCGTATTTGAGCGATAGGTATGTTTCAAATTACAGTTTAGTCGCATTCTTATCCAATAAACTGCTAAGGAAGAATAAGACTCGTCAACAAGGATTACTGCTGTCGGGACGTTGCTGATGAAAGTCACTGCCGTGAATCCGTATTGTAGTAGTTGTGCCAATAATCAGAATCGAAAGCACATTGACGCCAGCTCATTTCTAGACAAATCAAATTCACCTTCAGACAATTTGAAAATTACTTTGTGGCAAATGATTGAGTTCACTGCCAAGTCTTTGCCTTTATTTTTCTTTCACATGAAATTTTCTTAATTTTATTTTGTGAACTGAACTGAACAACTTTTATGCCGTTAACAACAATAACATGATCTTTTATTCTCTTTCTTTATACCGCACTGTACATGTACATGCGTTTCAGTGCTGTTTACAAGAAAACGATTAAGTTCAGTATCAGAATTAAAGAAACCCAAAATAAATGGTATAGTCCTATATGATAAAAAAAGTATTAAGACATACGTTAATAGACAGTAAAGCTAACAATGAAAGAAGTATGTAAAATCAGCTAAAATACTGTTTAAATAATCATTCAATGTCTTTTTAAAATATCAAATAAAAGTGTATATCAACTCATTGTGGACGCTGAAGTGCCAAAATACACCTAGTGATACGACTGGCGTTTACCCACCATTAAATTGGAATGCTTTATTTTTTGGTGAAAATAAAAGGGCTATCCCGGAAGAAAAGGCATCCCAGCAGTTTCGACGCAAGTTTGATCTTAGGCTACATTATTGTTGTGTCTTCACAACGAAAATTCAAATAAACAATCAAAAGCAGCAGCATTGACTGCTGATTGGGAGGATGTTTTTTCTATACAGTGAATTTTCTATATGACAGCATAAAAATGGCCCAGTAATATAATTGTGAAAATCCTTAAACTTTCCCAGTTGCTCTATCCAGCTTATATAATAGTTGAGTTTAATAACCGACGCTTTCTGTCAGTCCCCGATCTTAATTAAAATCGATGAGGATTAAGCCTGCCATACAGCGTTAATGTGACGGTGCAGGAATGACAAATACGGCTGAATTACTCTATACACTATACCTCAAACATCAAAAACATGAAAATTGCATTTTCTCCCTGCGTATACAGACATTAACTACTATTAACGTGTTCATCCGATCACATTCAATGGCCTATTGTGTGTTTGCAGTCAAATAATGTCCCACGACGAGACATGCAATAGGAAATGAAAGGATTACCTTCTTCAGGTTTAGGTGATGTGTAAATATTTTAATAAAAAAAGATAAATCAATGCTACTCAGTTGTTTCAGTATCCGTAGAAACACCGTAACCAGTTATCGATTTTAATCGTACGCCAACTCCTCAATCGGATTAAGAGATTATAGAACGTGTTTCTGAGAGAGAGACGCAGTCGATTTTAGAGGGCAGTTGCAGATATGTGACCGCGGTCACTGGCGACAATGTAAAATGGAGAATTCGTTAAGAATGTTTGTAATCAGCATAGGTAAGTGTAATGCCTATAAACCCCTACGCTCGTTATCGCAATGTTAATAATGTTGTAATGTAAAAAAATCTAGAAAAACTTGTAAGCTTTGGGTTTCCTAAACAAGTGGTTTGTCTTATTACATCTGTCTGCATATCTCCAAGAAAACATTTGGGTTTATTGAAGCACATCGAAATGTAAGTAAAAAATAACTGCTACGCTTTAGGGATGCTGACTGGAACAATTTAACAACATCGAAGAAACATGCCGACTTCTGGTATAGGATCGCCAACCTCACAAATAAGACAAAGTTTTCTTAAATTTCACAACAAATAAACAAAAATGGAACTTGGGGACTGCTCCACAAATAATAATATGTTACAGTTTTATGATCATTATTCTGTATGTTACAGTTTTACTTCTACTCGGCGATGCTGACCAAGTAATAAGCATGGTTGTGACAGGAATGGGGACATTCTCGTACAATCTGTCCTGTTATGAATGTTCGGAAGCGTTTACAGACAATCTGAAATCGTACGAGCCTTTCACTCCCTGTCAAACTAACCTTGAAGAAGTAGACGTGAGACCCTGCGGTAGCAGGGATTTATATTGCAAGGTAAAGTTTATGTGTGTGTGTGTGCGTGTGTGTGCGTGTGTGTGTATGTGTGTGTGTGTGTGTGAGAGAGAGAGAGAGAGAGGGTTCATTTCTAATGCACAATCCGAATAATGCAACCGATTTGTGATATCAACAACATTAGGCTTGGCTGAAAATAGGAATCAAAAAGTTATAACGAAAACTTATCCACCTGTATGTAATATTTCCAAATCCATTTCACCACTGAACAAAATGATAGACGAGTATGTCACATCTTTATTATTATTTATTATTTTTGTTATTATTGCTCAGGTTGAGAGGAAATCCTTCAAGGGCCAGACTGTGACCATTGAGCGCGGATGCACCCAGCGTTGCCTCCACGGCTGTAAGTTCACCGGATGGGGCATTACGTTGATGACGTGTACGTCATGCTGCCAGGAGCACGTGTGCAACACAGGGAACAGGGCTCCAGGATCACTGCACGCGCCCACAACACAGGGAGAACTCTTTTCCACTTTATTCACAACACTATTAGTTAAACGTGCAATTAATTTACTGAACAGATAAAAAAGACAGAGGATGTTCCTGATACGAACCGTTATTCCGTCTCAGAGGTATCATTTTTTTAGATTGTGGTTGTTGATGACATTTTGATTACTTTTTTGTTAGAAAAATCTGAAAAAGTGACGCATGTAGGATCAGGATTCCTATCTTCCTATGTAATACGTCAAAAGATTGGTTTATTAAACATACAGACTTGACANCTCAGTGTGCTCTTAAGCCTATGCATATAATTTTTGAATCAATGCCCTACAAACCATAACGGTCCTTTGTTAAGTATCAGAATACACAAATTTTAAAAAGGGTTGTATTGCACAAAACCCGAGTATTATAGAACTTTACATTAACGATGTCTGTTTTACCAAATTTATGGCAGTAGGGCCTACACTGCAAACCCAGTGCGTTAGCGGAGCCTTCTCTACACAGCAAATACCAGTGTGTTTGATGTGACAAGTAATGTATTACGGTGCAACAAGCACAATCATCCTATCTGCGCCACACTCTCTTGTCAGGGGACGCGAAAACCAGCCTGCAAAAAAAAATAATAATAAATAAATAATAAAATAAAATAATAATAATAAAATAAAAAAAACTTATAGTTGGGTCATGCATACAAAATATATATACTCAGTCCAAATAAAGAATTTACAAAACTGAATTTAAAATGATCAATTTATTCACAAATTTGTTAATTTTCTTTAAATAACTTAAATATCTATACATGAAAAATCTCAGGGCGCCAAAACTGAAGAATAAGCAAGCGTACAGAGTAAAGAAAACCTATCAATAGGACCAACATTTTCAAACTCTGGTCGCGAATTCTTTACGACTGCTATACCTGTACAATAGCCCGGACACGCAGGCTCCGAGGAATGGCCCCACCCAGTAGATGTAGTGATACTTCCAGATGTCAGGATTGTAGCTTGTTACTGCCACCGCTGGACCGAACGTTCTGGCTGGATTCATAGAGGCCCCAGACAGCCAGCCGCTGTAAGATAAAGCAAATAAGCATACGTGAGAGGGAGAGAGAGGAGGAGGGCAGTTTTCTTTCTTTCATTTTCTAGGGAACTATTAAAATAGGTGTTGGCAAAAGTGATCAAAACAATATACAGCATTGTAAATTATTTACCTGTCTGCCTGTTTATCTAATTATTTATTCATTTCTTGCTAACATTTGAATAATGGATAAAACAATGCATTATGTGATCATGTTAGATCCCATCGCTGATTTAGAATTGATACCGTGGGTATTGGAAAATGAACCGCTTACCCCGCTAAGATGCAAACAACAACAGCCACACCTATTATTATTGGTGCCAATGTTTTGTTAGTTTTACTATCCACAGCCACCATCAGAATGGTAAAAACTAACACAATGGTCAGGAAGATCTCACAACCAATGGCTGTCCCCCACGTCACTACACTAGGGTTGATCGTCTGCGCTCCGCCGTTTGTCATATTGAATAGCTCTACTGGGCTTAATAACTGGAAGAATAATTCCCATAGTTGTCATCAATGCATACATATGCAAAGATATGTTACACTGTATTTGATACCGATTTTCTATACTAATTACTAGTGTTTGGAAATGGACACTTTTTGTGGGTCTATCCCTAAACTACCTGTGTTTTGATTAAAAAATGGTTCCCGTGATTTATTTTTATAGAAAAATACACTTTGCTTATTCAAGGACCTTTTTAATGTTCAAACGAATAGTATATGGTGAATGATAGGTCGTTAATTGCACGCATATATAGTAAGAGGAAATATGCGCACATCCTATGTCTAATCCAAAAAAGGTGAAACACTAATTTTGCAGGATCAGCACTAGAGAACATCCGTGGATATCATTTAAAACGCAGGGGCCGGAAATTTGAAGGATGACTAGCCTATTGTCAATATTAAACACCAAATAAAGTGGGTTTGCCAATTGTATGTCTAATTTAGAACCCAATGTACTTTATGAGTCCCCAGACATAACACGCTCATCAAACGCTTGAGCATTAGATTGTTGTCTGCGTTGCACCTCGGAACCCGAATTTCCCAAAGGCGGGATACACAAGATAAACGGTAATAGAATTGTACGTAAAATTCACATTCGCTCTTACTCACCCGGACAAACCCTGCTCCGACCATGCCGCCAAGTAACTGGGCGAACAGATAGACGACTGCCACAGGAAGGGTTATCCCACCTGCTATAACAATCCCCAAAGTAACCGCGGGATTGACGTGAGCCCCGCTGAAATGTCCACAAACATAATTTGGTATATCCAAGAACTACACATGTCATTTTAAGTAGGTTCTAATTTTGTAAAAATTAACTCAGTTGAGTTTACTGAGTTAATCTTTTTGTTGCAAGGAAAGTAAAAACAATGACACCCCCCCCCCAAAAAAAAAAAAGGATTTTTTTGTGTGATGCAATTGTGACAAATTAGCTTTGAAGTGTAATACGGTAATGCAAACCATGGAATTCGCAGATTATGTATGCTGAAAAACCATTGCCTGCACTTAATTCATATTAAAAATTGCTATTGAACCATGAACTGAAAATGAAAATTACTTTTTTGGGGGAAAATTAAATCAATATTTTATAATGCACAAACTTTTGCGACCAATAACTACTGGTATGAGCTGGTATGATGGCCAGTTTGCCTGTTGAATTAAAATGTAATGACTACAGTTGAGACCACCTGTTAATAACCGCAACATATGTAGGTCATTAATGCTCCAAAACAGCACTGAATAAAGAAAGGTGGCGGGAACAATGGAGGTCATCCGAAATAGCCTGGAATGTCTCGCGACGTAGCGTAAAATCAAGCGATATTTCGCAGAATTCAGAGGAAAGCAGGGTCAGAAATCAGACTAGCGAATGCTGTACAACCACAATTAAATGCTGACAGAAATTATCCACTGGCATTTTTTCTGAATGTTTTCCCTTAACTTCTGTATAACCACCGTCTTTAGAACGACAGCACGCAAGTACTTTTTCTCCATATTTTACGAGTTATTTTTGTATCACTTTCTAAGACGACTTTTACAGAGTTTTACCCTTATTGTTAAAAGGTTAACTTCAACTCACGCGAATTCTCGCACGTTTACAAGGCTAGTACCAGTCACGTTATATTTTAGAGCACATTCAGAACAGATTATCCGCGGATTTACTGATCCGCCGAATAAATAAGGTTGACCCCGCTTAAAAAGCGATGCCCTGATTCCCTGATGGTCTCCCTGCCTCCACACGCGCCGTCGCTGCAGGCGCCCAGCAATTAAACCTTGGAGCCGAGATTTAATCCGTTAAATGGCGCATTTGGAGGCGGGGAGACCCTCAGGCATCGCATTTTAAGTGGGGTCGGCCATATTTAGTCGGTGAATCAGTAAATCCGCGGATCATCTGTCCTGAATGCGCTCTTAGCATATCTCGGATGCTTGTCAATCTAAGTTACAATACAATACGTAGATATGAAAGTGTTGTCTGAAGAAACTGTTTTAACATAGAGGTGAGGGACTTTGAGGGAATGAAATTTTATGAAACCTCATGCTCAATCTTTTTTTCTGTTACTATCCACAACTAGATGTTCGTATTACACCTTGTTTTGAATCAGGCGAGGTTTAAAATTTAAATCACGTTATTTAAAGAGATTATCTATTGTTCACGGAGGTTACTAGGTCAGACATGTGACTGTTTATAACGATACCTCCGTATTGTATTATCTAAAAGGATGTCCGACAGGTGTGATAATGCTAATGCTACGTACAGGTATTTTCTGTAAATACAGGTAAAAAACAGATGAAAATATTTAACAGCCTGAGGCTTCCAGGCTGCAAAGGGAATACTTGTTCAATCAAGTGATAGCACTTATTTCTATCTGCACAATGAGGAAGTAGCCTCCACCTGTGTTGGAAATATTTTCAAACATGTTGAAACGCCTGAGAGTATGATTTTTAATATCAAAATTGCATTTCACATCGTCATCTGTTACAAAAGGCTCTGAATAAAAGATATCTGATGTCTTGTTTTTATCCTATGACTGAGTATGAGTCTTACATATTAACGGGATATGCTGGCTGCATAGTTGTTCATTACCGCCAGCAATAATCACAAAATGAGGTCTTGACAATATTTCCGCCGTTACCGAGTATGCTGGTAATTATATAATGTAAAACAAAGGCAACTGTTGTGCTTCTGCTCAGAACTACTTAAAAAAGTGAAAAGAATCTTAGAAGTATGTTGAGACACATTTGGAAAATCTATTACCAGAATGTACCAGCAATCACAGACTATTACAAACCTGAATGCGCTTTTTAGAGCCCTCCACACCCTCACCCCCATCAATCTCTCAATTACCAAATTGTGAACAGAACGCCAAGTTCCTTGATAATACCCCGAACCCTTCAATTTCAGGTTTTCAAAACTGAAAAGATCTTTATGTCTCCTTGATCTAGGCTAATTTGAATATAACAACATGCTGATAAAATGATGTGACAAACTCAGGTATGATGTTCGAAATTTGGCCGGTGACGGCCGCATTTATTGAAAGTCCCAAAACTAAAAGAAATGAAGCAGACTAATAATAAACACTGAAAAGTGTTGACAAATGACATTTAACATTAATGTGTGCGCCTGAAATATCTACATTTAAAATAAAATTTCCAAAGAAATAGTGCACACATTTCAATTTGTGGGGTTGCAAAGAAATTACCTTGTTTTTATGTTAATGGGGGTCGTTTACAGCCTGGTCGAAGATTTATACTTCGTCACCGTTAAGTGGATCGAATATTGTTTATTGTGCAATGTTATCAGGTTTGTCATGTGACCGTTCTTGACTTTATCTCACCTGTTATAAACATAAACAGCCGTAAGGATCACGCCCACATGTAACGAGAACAGTTGAATGATGTTTTTTTTTTGTATATATATATATATGTAATGCGAACTCAATAACATCTGGAATTATGACAGGTAAAAAAACAGGCAGAATATATCTTATGACCTACAAAGCCACAAAATGAACTACCGTAGTATGGGGTTTTGCAAGTTTTGCAAGTCATTCCGCTTCATCATAATTCACGGCTTTTGACATTAGTACACAAAACTTATCTGTGCGGTCTTTAGCTAGGTTAGAATGGTTTTCAATCTAGCCAAAAAGGGTCCTTAGCATTATTTTTCATGTACATATAGATGAAATAATTGTTTGCCACCTGTTACATGGACGTAAATAAAAGATGTATCATTTCACTCTAGAGTGATGCACCTCACCAGACTGTTCTGACAATCGTGATACCTAGACAATCATTAATGATCTATCATAAATTACATAGGCATATGGCCAAAATTTACTGCACTGCCTTCATATATTGAATGTGTGCTTAACAATATTTTTGCCTTCAGTGTTTCTTTAACATAATGACAAACAATGGCAACTAATGTGCTTCTGACTTATTTGAGAGAAGGGTGAAATATATTACCAGGATTGCGATTTTTGTTGTTGTTGTTGTTGCATTGCTGGTCCCTCAGACGAATGTGCCGATACACATTTGGGAAATCCATTAGGAAACTTATGCCTGTTAGTGCTTGCGAGTCTAATACAAGATGAGAGGTCAAAACTCTCTCTCTCTCTCTCTCTCTCTCTCTCTCTCTCTCTCTCTCTCTCTGAGTGTGTGTGTTTGTGTGTGTGTGTGTGAAGGCGAGCGCGCGTGCTTGTACGCGGAACTGTACAACTCATCACATGTCATTACAACAATACAGAAAAACCTAACCGACTATATTTCCTGGAAATTCTCAAAACATTGAACAGCAATTCACGTTGGAGCGGAGGCACTAACCTTATATGCCCAAAGCTAGCTACAACCAGCGCAATAGTCAGTCCGTGTGCCAGAGCTACATTCACAATGGGCCCGCTACCAGTGCCCACCGCGGCCATGCACCCGACGAATACAAAGAGCAGGGTCGCCACAAACTCTGCACAGCCAGGCAGAACGTACTTTTCCACTACATCTTGCTCCGTTGCTTCTCCTCCGGATTCATTGATCAGGTGTTCTTTCTCCGCGGACATGTTGTTCCCGTCCTTCGCGTGGCTCGGGTCAGACGGCAGGCTCTCATATGCCCGCTTATCCCGCTTGTCTGACAGGAGGAATCGTTCTAACGCGTGACTCGTCATGTGTTCTTTCGTGTCGCTGTGTAAATAACAGTAAATATAGATTTCTGCTTATATACAAACGTCTGTTTGCCAGCATGTCAGACAATGTACGGTGCAGAAAAATTGACAACTAAGTAGGTTTGCAACTACCAAATTATGATTATGAACCTTAAAGAGACCGTTCATCTTTTTTTTAATTCTTTACTATCTTTTTAGCAAGAGCCTGGGATTTTTGTTTAAAAATCACGCACATCCTTTTTAAGTATGATAATATTATTAGGCTACGCTTTTTCAAAAGTTGCACGTGAAAACCCATGCAAGTTATTTGCTAGGCTTAAGGCATGATAAAAAGTGATTGACAAAAAGCAAATATGTGGGATATGCTTGGAATATTGGAATTGGTGTTGTGAGTTTTGTCTGTGGTGTTGTGAGTTTTGTTTGGTGTTGTGGCCCTTACACACTTCCATAATCAACAGAACAATTGTTGATAACTACTAAATATTGAAATTAAAATAAATATGGTTATATGATTTAGTGCTAAAATCGGTTGGTCCCTTTAATCATTTCATCGCTTCTAAATTGACTAGTGGATAACTTATTGTATTGTACCGGGTCATTACCAATCCCAATTTCCTTCATTTCTGTCACTGTCAGTATGGGTTATGAACCATTATCAATTTTACCTTTTTTTATACAGGTTTTGTTTGCACGTGGCTGCCGAACCGAAGCCACTTCTTTTATTCTCGACCTTTTAAGGCCCTTGGCGAATATTCATAATAAAAAGGCTTCTGACCGATATTCATAACGATGACGCTGGGGATGACGATGGGGTTTAATCAGAGCCCACATGGGGCACGTGAGGCGACGCTCTATCTCCCATATCTATAAGCAGCCGTAGTTTCAGGGGATTATACCGGTATGACCGCCAAAACAAGAACACTGATTTTCAATGGCACGAAACTGACACAGAATTTGGAGTAAAAATGCGAAGTCAAGTGACTCATCTTTAGAAAATACAACAAATATTTATTAATTTTCTTATTTACTTTGGAAAATACTACCATTTAAAATCTCATTCAGCTCTTTTTGTTTTTGTTTTGTTTTATTTTATTTATTTATTTATTCATTTATTTATTTATTTATGTTTTTATTCAGTTATTTTATTTTCTTAAGGGCTACAATTATCATGTGTTTTTAAGTTGAAAACGGTTTGGTTAAGATTGAAAATAAACGGTAAATCTAGGCCTGAACGCAAACACACACACACATACACACACACGCATATGCACATGCACATCGCTCTCTGGCTTATGCCTATACACGCCGAAAGTGCGAGTACGTGCATGTTCTGAAGTACATAAAAACTTAAATGCTATCCGAACACCAGCAGTACATGACATTACTGTTCGAGAAGAAACGATGTTGATTGCTTGTCCTGATGGCAACTGATCTGTGTAGTAATTAATGTTACTGATACTGAGGAATTTTTATACTTTTAAATTTCTAAACTAACCGAAAGCGTACCTTTATAAACTAGACGTGTCGGTGAACTTTTGAGACAAAAACATTTCCAGGTACCGGGCACGCTGTCAGTCAGTGTGGAAACTGAATAGTTTTAATTTTCTGGTCGTCCTCGGATCAACTTGCTTTGAATGCGCTCTCAGTGTGACAAACCGGAACCTAGGAAGTAAATATACCAATGCCGGATTTGTCGCAAATTACCCGCACACGTTTCTTTCTCTTAGTACTTGTTCGTGTACATTGCATGATGTCTGTTTTTTTTTTTTTTTTTTTTNACCAGCAGTACATGACATTACTGTTCGAGAAGAAACGATGTTGATTGCTTGTCCTGATGGCAACTGATCTGTGTAGTAATTAATGTTACTGATACTGAGGAATTTTTATACTTTTAAATTTCTAAACTAACCGAAAGCGTACCTTTATAAACTAGACGTGTCGGTGAACTTTTGAGACAAAAACATTTCCAGGTACCGGGCACGCTGTCAGTCAGTGTGGAAACTGAATAGTTTTAATTTTCTGGTCGTCCTCGGATCAACTTGCTTTGAATGCGCTCTCAGTGTGACAAACCGGAACCTAGGAAGTAAATATACCAATGCCGGATTTGTCGCAAATTACCCGCACACGTTTCTTTCTCTTAGTACTTGTTCGTGTACATTGCACGTTGTCTGTTTTTTTTTTTTTGTTTTTTTTTTTTTTTTTTTTTTTTTTAACTTATTTTTTTTTTTTTTTTTTTTTTTCATTGAAGGATAATGTTTTTTTTTTTTTTTAAATTTAAAAATAATTTCATGGAAAAAACTTGCCTTGTTTACCCTAGTGTTAATGTTGCCAGAAAAAAAAATGAAATTGTAGACATCAGATTCTAAGAAGCCCCTTTATAAATCAGCATTAAATAGACAAAGAAAGCTTCTTGCAATTGGAAGTATTTCCCAAAAGTACTTTGATGAAAACCAGGCCACGGATATCAGCGTTATCTACAAAATGTGTCTCCATAAAAGTATGATTAAACATGACAGGTCTCTCATACTTAAACCGAGCTGAAGGCCCGAGTTATTTACACAGCGTATTTCTGTGACGTACACTTTAAGGAGAAGGACAGACAAGTTTCTACGTCTAATATAGCGACTACACCTTGTCATCGGGAAGAAACTTTTGTTCCACTTCTTCAAAGCGTTGGTGTAATATTTCGTTATACTGAACAGTTTAATAACTATCTAACAGCGCCTGTGACCTCCACGGGGGTAGATTTACTGGGTCCGATTTTCTTACGGCTTTCTCCTCGTGAGTAAGGGGTTAATTAGTAAAGCCGCTCGGAAGTGCCTTTATTTGTGAAGTTGAGGACCACAAGGCACTGAAAAGGCTCTGGTGAGCAACATGACGGCCATGAATCTGAACGTTAAAGAAGGATGACTGCATCTTTTACTCGCACCGACTTGATTAACATCCCGTGACGACCGAGAAATCAAACCAAGCCTAGAATCAGTAAGGACACTTTCACCATTGTGTTCGTTAAGGTTCAATGAAAACGGTATTACTCAATTCGGAGCCGAGTTCGTCTGCCAAAGCCTCCGAAGACTTTGAAGGAGAGCCAAAAGAAACGGATAAACCAATGGTTTCATAGGCTGGATTTGGTTGGTTATTTCCAAGGATTGATCTTATTCGAATATCAAAGGTCGGGGATCTGTTATAAGACTATTCGAGATGTCGTAACTTCAACTCTATTATTTGCGATTGATCGGTGGCTGACATCGTGAAAAGGGAACCCGATAACTAAGAAACTGACTGCTTCACAAGGCTAGGGTGAGTACAATTTTTCGATTGTCAAAGAACTAGTAGCTGCCACGATTTTCAACCGTATGTCCCTTTGAAGATAAGGCAGTGGAATGCTAGTAAATGTTTATGTGATCTTGACAGTGCCGACCATTATATCAATGGCTACTTCAAAGTTTAGAGATAACGTTATTTACCGTAGCAGAGCCCAATAAATACTGATACATCCATTAAATGAAGATATACTGCAAGTGTTTTTTGACAAATTTTTGTACTAGAAACATTTCCTATCTTCAGCACTGGTGCTGTAAAAGTGTGCACACATGTGTGTGTGTGTGCGCGCGTATGTGCGTGATATTTGTTGGGAAAAGGAGAAGGGGTTAGAGCCTTAGAAGCAAACCTATGAGTAGTACATAAAGGCCCCTTGGTTTGCCTGGGGTCCCTTCATAATACACAATAAACACAAAGTTGCAGTTAAACTGTTGCGTGGTTGAAGTAGAAACTGACGCATGCACGAGAGAGAGAGAGAGAGAGAGAGAGAAAGACAAGGTTCCTTGCCAAAAGATGTCCATTTTTGTTTGTTGCATCCTCAATCGGACGACAAAAAACATTACACTTGACACTTTTCTTTGTTAGTGCACGACGTTTTAAATATCTTCTATTTTCGATTCTAAAACCTGCCCTTTTAGCCTTGTCATTACACATACGAGGATTTTAAAATTTCTTTGCTCATATTTGTTATTATTTCCTGCTTTCCTTTTATCTTTTTAATGAGCCGCTAATTTGTCGCCCCGAACTTAACATACTTCTGTATTTCAAAGTAACTAAGTACCAGAACGCACAGTACGTTCCAAGGGCTTCCACTTATCACAGCTTTTGATCGCACGTTTGAATACGTTGTATGCTATCTTAATACCCCCCAGGTCAAAGAAGTGTATTCAGCATAAAATGTACCCTGAATTTCGACCATTTTGATCATTTTGCCCTATTCTACAGACCACTGAAGAATTCTACAGACCACGTTCGATCAGCCTGCAATCATTGCGGTTGCTACACATTACAATTATTGTTGTCGCTGCTATGGTAACTGTTCAATAATGGTTGCATTTCTTTTTCGCACAGGACCGTTACGTTTATTAAAGAAACATGACTTCGACCGAAGAAGGGATCTCCAACCCCGCGTGTGAGGAAAGAGACACCATCTCGCCACCGTCTGTCAACGGAAGAGATGACAGAACACTGGTGTCGCTGGAAGAAGAGTATGTAAAAATGCTGATTTTCTTTTCATTTTAATGAAGAATCTTTGAAAAGTTAGTCAGCTTTTCTTCAAAGTAACATCATCTTCAAATATCAGTTTAAATATTGCAACTTATTTTTATTTCTTTGTTTCAACTTAGCGAGCCCGGTGTAACAGGGGCTGTAACGGAAAGGTATGCCCATCCGTTACGTCAATCTAAAGCAGTTTTCATTAAAATGCAATTATTATGCCTTTGATATGTTACGTTAGAAATTTAAACAGGCATTGTGATGATAGAAAAAGAGATCACCCAAGACTCTTACTGGCAATAAAAGAAATTCATGAAGTGATCTAGACATATCGTTTACAACTCAGCTTATATGGAAAAAACAATCTAAATTAAGTATTTCGCGCAAATAACTTAGAAAGCTGCTTGTTTTTTTATGAAGAATCGCTACTGTCATTTTCGGCAGTCAAACAATATGAAGAATAAATAACAGCCGATAATCGTTCATTTATTTAAAACCAATTACTTGGGGCATTTATGATTAAGATTTAGTTCAGATGATTTAAAGATGACGAAAGAGCTTATCAGCCACAAATCTGTTCTTCATTTAACACTATAAATTCGCATATTTTACCTTTTTGTGTAATTGAAGTGTCCGTTCCATTCTCAGTGTTGGATGTACATTTCTCATTTTCTTTCTTGTTAATTTTTCTATTTCCTTTGCCTACCTTTCCGTAATACGTGTTGAAATGAGGTCTGTGAACTCGTTTGTTCTCAGTGAGGGGGGAATGTCATCTAGCGTTCCTTGATCTCTTAATACACCCGAACTTTGTTACGATAAAATTACAGAAGGCTGAAATGGTGAAATCGTACTTCAAAACATTTCGAAGCTGTACCCATTTTCAACTGTTAAAGATAGCTTTAAACCCATCGGGCATTTTGTGCACATTTTATCTTATATATAACACGGTAGTGCCAGCCTTTAGACCGTATGAGAGGGATACAAATTACCTGAAATACAATTTTATCTGTTTTGTATTCAAGCCGTCGTTCTCTCAAAAATTAGTAACCAACCAAGGTTACATATATATTAATCCCACTGAGTCTAAGAAGGCATGTTTGAGGGAGCTCTAGGCCCATTTAGCATTATGTGCACATTTTTATCTTATATATTAATCAAAATGAGTTTATAAAGGCATGGCCTTACCCTTTTACTATATTTAATGTAGGAGCGATGCGCATCATTTTGCCATGTTGGTAAATGCAAAGGAAATTTTAAAAAACACAGGCGCTATTATAAATATTAGCTTAAGTCTTAACAGGAGTCCAATAGTGGTAAAACTAGCAGAAACCAAATAGCTAAGACAACTGCAGATGTAAAAATATTTAACTAAAATGGAAATCTAATAAACACTAGTAAAAGCCTTTGTGAGTAAAGGAAGCTAGTGACTTTTCAATGAAAGTATCAAATGTGCTCCGTCCTTGTGTATATAAAATATATTTTTGTTTTGTCTTTGAGAAATCATATTTAAAATATAGTAACACAAAAACAAACGTGATGATACACACACACTCTCTCACACACACACACACACACACACACACACACAGAGAGAGAGAGAGAGAGAGAGAGAGAGAGAGAGAGAGGTCAAGCAGTGCATGTTGATCTGACTTCTGCTGATATTAATGCCCATCTATCGTCAAAATTTACAGTCAGCGCAAGAATTCCAAGAGTTCGGGACCATTACTTCCAAGTCACGAGACAAAACAGATATTATCTAAGTCCTTGTCACAGATGGCACTATGTAATTGATGAGAAACTATCAAAAATTAATTTTGACCGTTCGGCCATTTATATACGCTTATTCAGCGAAAAATAGCAATCTGTTACTCGCAAACCCCCGAACGGCGTTTTTGCTCGCTTTGTAGTATTGTGGCTCCAATTGATATTTTCGACATACTATCCACCTCAATGGACCTCTCTTGCTTTTGCATCATCGTTTCTTATTCTTTTTTTTTTTTTTTTTTTGAAAACGATATTTTGCCGTGCCTTTTACATGTTGATATGACAAGCGTTATTTATTGTTTATTCCACAGCTGCGAGATATCGTTAAGAGCAGTTTCTGAGTGTCTGAGTTGATTACTTCTGCAACCGATAGATAGATCCTCTAAAGGAGACCACAACATAGACTGCGCCTCTTTCAAAACTTATATAAGAGTCTTTGATTTTTTTCGGATTCAGAGTGGAGCAGAGAATAGTTTTCACAGCGTCTCACATGATTCCCATAAGATTTTGTCAGCTACCACGTTATAGAGGCTCTTCTCTTCACTCCCCTTGTACGCTTGCTTTCGTAATGTGTACGCAAACGTACCCTGTGCAGTGCTGCGTTTTACCGATATGGTGTCCGTTCCAAGCCGAAGCGGACATGTATAGACATATTAATTTAAGGGATTTTTCTAGACGACATGATTGGAAATGTGATTATCAATTTCATTGCCCATCTTTGTTATTGAGGTTTACAATGCCGTTGATATGCGGGTAAGACAGACGTTTAATTGATCGGGTCGCCTGTTTTATTTATCAGGATGTGAAATGTTAGATTGAGATTGAAATTTTCAATTGACTTGTTATCAATCAAATCGTTTTTTAACGCAATTTTGAACGATTTGTGTAGATCGCCATCTTCGGCGATATAAATACTAGGACAATTTTAGGCCCCATTTCCAGAGATTAGATCGATATACTTTAGATCGACCTAACTCCCTGGGGGTTCACGCTAAATAGCTGTCAGCCGAGCGGACACGAAAGTTAATTACCCCCTTACAGCTTGTAGTAGGGGGACGGACATTTAAGCCGGATTATCTGACAGTAATCTAGTGAGACTCCCCGCGGGGATAGATCGATCTAAAAGCTCTGGAAATACAGCCTTAGATTGGGTTCCTGATTATTTGCCGTTTTCAAGACAACGGACAAGGAATGTGCTCCTCATACATCTTTAAAATGTTTTTTTTTTTATAATATATTTGCAATACTGCTTGAGAGAGAGAGAGAGAGAGAGAGAGAGAGAGAGCTGGAGTTTCCACTCTCACTTCCTAAAGTTTTTACTTTGTACATTGCAATATCGTCTTTTGCCCTGCGCTTCTTCTGGGTAAGACATCTTATAAAATATTGATACTTCATTGAAGACGAGGTTATTAGGTTTGAATGTTGCTAGACTAAAACGATTTCATAGGTACAGATGCACTTGAGTATGCGCACAGTGCATGGTGGATTAACTGGCTTTAGAAAAGAATGTCCCCCATGGAATGGTAGCTATATTTGTTGGCGCAAAAAGTCTCCTTTGAGTGATAAGTTCACTACAACATGCTCCTTCAATTGGGTTCACTTTTCCGGCAATTCCTTTTATTTTTTTCTTTTTGTTTCTCAAAAGCTGTTGACACTTGCCTTCAAATATTTTCACATTAGAAACGAAGAAAATGGCAAAAAGGGAGGAGAAATTGACCCAAAATGTTATCGTATATGCGTAGACCAGAATAAAAGGTTGCACTTTTCTAAAAGGAGTGTTTTTTCGATCTGCAGGCCGGAAATCGATGAATGTAGCATTTTAGTTACAACTGTTTTTTCCCAATTAACTCAACCCTAGTGCTTTCCAAACTTTTTTTTTCGTTGCTATTTTTCTGTTCTGGCAACATATTTACATTGGCATAGATATTTGGCCTTTGTTTATTTACTTTTTCGGAAGGCATGAACTATGATACTACATGGTGTGAAAGAAAAAAGTTGAATTGAATTCAATTGTGCTCTAGTGAACGTCCTGTCACCCAGATGTTAAGGCAATAACAATCTGATAATTTGAACAATCTTTCATTTGATCAATTTGGATGTTGGATGTATAGGCCTATGCCGTATAGATTATCTGTAGATTGAATATATGCCACAATGCAAAATTCTAATGGTCATTTATTTCATGCAGTTATTTGTATAGGATAAGAAAAGGTTTTTGTATTGATTCTAAAGCGTACTACTACAAGCCACTCACACACGGTATTTGGTTCCAGAATTTTAGGTCACATCTGGCACACCAAGTTTACAACACAATCACACCTAACACAATTACGTAGGTCTAAAAGAATAGGCTTGCTTTCATCAGGTCTATATGGAATATTCATTATGATTCTCTTTTCTTTTTTTTTCAGAAATAAGACACCCCACTATAAGCAATGGAACTCACGATTTCCTTGCTGCGTAAAGAAATCTTACGTGGATCTCACGCTGGTCGGTATTGTAATCCTAGGAACGGTGATCGCTGTGATTGTCATCGCGTGTTTACAAGTGGGTAAGTAACCGCCGCGTTGAATATGTATTGGGTTTTTAATAAAGTATAGGCGTGGGCGTCAAGTATTTTTCCTTTTGTAGCAAAAAATAAAAAATAAAAAGAATAAAAAAAAGCCAAAAAATTCAGGCAGACCTTAAACATGTTATGAATTTAAAAATAACTTTGGCATCTTTAATATACAGCATTTCTTTCACCAGGGAAACGAAATACAGAGTCAGGTCATGGTAGAGACACGGGTGCGACAAAGATCTGTACAACGTCCGAATGTGTACGGGCAGGTAGGACCTTCTAATACAATGTCTGTGTTAGCATTCAGTAGATAAGGTAGTCTGGTGTAACAATAGCATCGATCTTTAGATCTAATTCAATCTGTTAATAATATCATTGACAGTATATATGCATGACAGTACATATGCACTTATCTGATTCCATTTTAATCTTCATAAAGCGCTTCAAAATTTAAAGAAAAAAAGGAGCTGTAAACATCCGCAACATCACAAAGGATTTTTTTATTGCAGCCGCCATGCTCATGGAGGCAATGGACATGGAGGCAGATCCTTGTGGAGACTTTTTCCAGTATGCATGTGGTCGATGGAACAGACGCCATCTTATTCCAGAGCAGGGCAAGGAGATCACTCAGTTCACACGGCTTTATGATGTCCTTCAGATTCTGATGAAAGGTACTTATTATATATTTATTATAATTATAAAAATATATTATTATTTTTCTTTTTTCCTGATGAAATGCTGTCTACTTCATACACCGATGGAATGCTCCTTAAATCCAGCGACGACGAAAATTAATGGGTGCATGAGAGAAAAATATATCACATATTTTAGAAATAATTTCAGAAGTTCAGATAGTAACGAATTGTTTAGTACTCTGATTTCTCATAACTGCAGTGGATAAGGGGCTACAAAACATTTTTCTTCTCTTAATGCAAGGTCTGTTGGAGAGATCTGTCAATATAAAAGAACCCAACAGTGTCCAGAAAGCCAAGCGCTTATACCAGGCGTGTCGGAATGAAAGTAGGTATCATTATACTTGTATTATGTCCCAACAGTTTTTAATGCGAACTTTCTATAGGATTAATGACATTTGCGTAGTTTATTTCCATGATATACAAGTTACAATACCTTTATCTCTCACTCTCTCTCTCTCTCTCTCTCTCTCTTATGATTTGAATTATCGAACAAAATTATGTTCCCACGTGCATTCCACCAACATCCTTATTGCCATGGCACTTCCATAGACAGGCAAAAATAAAATACAATATGTACTTAACAAATACCAGCCCTAGTCGATGTCCTGAAGGAAGAACCTGTGTGGAAACTCCTGACAGCACTAGGGGGATGGCCAGTACTTAACGACTCTTGGAATGCGTCTCAATTCCACATTGAAGAGGAGATGGCAAAATTCCACTTCTACACCAATGTCTTACAAGAGAGAACGGACTCTAATAAAGTTTTGCTTAAACCGTATGTTGCCGTGGATAGGAAGAACTCTTCATCCTTTATACTAGCAGTAAGGTCTTAGGCATTGTTTATTCTTGCTAATGTTTGTCTAGATCATCATACTAGGTGTACAGACTACAATTCAGTGTCCGAATTATAAGACAGTAAAACAGTTTCCTTCAATTACTAAATAACACAATTTTCTCACTCTTCAATGCACAATATTTCTGAAATTTGCAAATGTTTTAAAGCTCTGAACATTACAGATTACATTGTACGTTACAGTCTATAAGTTAACCACATGGCACATATTGACATTCCAGATCGACCAGCCTGATCTGGGACTTCCTAGTCGAGAGCATTACCTTGGTGCCCGTAACACCAGTTCACTCCGGGCCTATGAAACGTACGCAGTGTCCATTGCCATGGCGTTGGGTGCCAGTGAGAGCACTGCCAGGAGGGACATGGCGGATGTGGTCGACTTCGAGATCAGGATTGCAAATGTAAGATCTCCATTACGGCATTTATGGGCAATAGAGTAATTATTGTTTGTATGTTGTTTTTTAATGTTATAATGTGGAGAGGTGTCTACATTTCATGAAAAATAGAAAGCCTGAGTAGATTTCTTTCTCACAAAACAGGCAACAGATCTACCAGAACAGCGAAGGGACGAGGAATTTACGTACAACAAGTTGACGGTGGCAGAGCTTTCCACAAATGCCACAGACAAGGTAGGTACACATAGCTTACCAAGTATTTCTTTGTGTTTTCTTTCTTTTTCCATTTCCTTTTTTGTATCTTTGGTGAATTTCGACCATTTTCTAATTTTTTTCAAAGCTACATGTAGGTTATATAATATGCTATTATTATAATACAGTTTTGGTCATGGTCAAATATTTTTGGTATTATTGGTTTCATTGGATAAGTAGTAACAATGTGACGTGCAGGTTTACAACTTTCCTCTCGTAGATTGACTGGAGGCGTTACCTGGAGACCCTGTGTCGCCTAGGTAACGCCCGGGTGCCAAATGTGGTAGTTGTGGAAGCAATAGACTATATGCGGAAACTGGGAGATATTTTGCAAGAGACGCCACCTAGGTATATATCTTAAGAGAAAAAATACATTTTTTGAAAGCACTTATCTATTAATGAACGTTTTGTTGTCAATATTGTTGTGTAATCTGAAAGGATGTCCACGCTTCTTTCTACATGAAATTTGGTTTATTTTCTTAACAAAAAGAATTTGAATGTACGATATATTTTATTTGGTTCATTAGGTATGCGTGCATCATGTAAACTGTGACCAGGTTGATGCTATAAAATTAATTAATTTGTTTTTCATTTCAGAACCATTGCCAACTATCTTGTCTGGAGAGTGTTGAAAAATCTTGTAATTGCTTTACCAAAGGAGTTTCAACAGCTACAAGAAAAATTCAAATATGTGAGTTTTCGAGAAGGACCGTATCTTTGATTACCATTTCCTTTTTATAACAAAATACTCAAAAATAAAAACTGTTATATCTGTTAAAATGGAGTCGTATGGTACGTGATCAAAATGAATGAAATGACTTTATTTTCATTTCTAGGCGGTAGATGGCACCACCCGTATGTATAGCAGGTGGTATAGATGTGTCACTCTCGTCAACGACAATATGGGTCTGGCAGTCGGGAGGTTATTCGTGGAGAAATATTTTGATGAGGAATCCAAAACGGAGGTCGAGATCTTTTTTCTGACATAACTTTCATCCTTGTATAATTTTCACTATCTGTCATCGATTCTGTACTGCACCAAAACCTTATTTATTGAACAAACGTATCATTTGTCTACCCGATGTTTCCAATTCAAATGAAGACTCAAATATAAAACGATCAGTAAAAGTCTATAATCTGTATTTCTCNGGGACATGGCGGATGTGGTCGACTTCGAGATCAGGATTGCAAATGTAAGATCTCCATTACGGCATTTATGGGCAATAGAGTAATTATTGTTTGTATGTTGTTTTTTAATGTTATAATGTGGAGAGGTGTCTACATTTCATGAAAAATAGAAAGCCTGAGTAGATTTCTTTCTCACAAAACAGGCAACAGATCTACCAGAACAGCGAAGGGACGAGGAATTTACGTACAACAAGTTGACGGTGGCAGAGCTTTCCACAAATGCCACAGACAAGGTAGGTACACATAGCTTACCAAGTATTTCTTTGTGTTTTCTTTCTTTTTCCATTTCCTTTTTTGTATCTTTGGTGAATTTCGACCATTTTCTAATTTTTTTCAAAGCTACATGTAGGTTATATAATATGCTATTATTATAATACAGTTTTGGTCATGGTCAAATATTTTTGGTATTATTGGTTTCATTGGATAAGTAGTAACAATGTGACGTGCAGGTTTACAACTTTCCTCTCGTAGATTGACTGGAGGCGTTACCTGGAGACCCTGTGTCGCCTAGGTAACGCCAGGGTGCCAAATGTGGTAGTTGTGGAAGCAATAGACTATATGCGGAAACTGGGAGATATTTTGCAAGAGACGCCACCTAGGTATATATCTTAAGAGAAAAAATCCATTTTTTGAAAGCACTTATCTATTAATGATATCGCTTTGTTGTCAATATTGTTGTGTAATCTAAAAGGATGTCCACGCTTCTTTATACATGAAATTTGGTTTATTTTCTTAACAAAAAGAATTTGAATGTACGATATATTTTATTTGGTTCATTAGGTATGCGTGCATCATGTAAACTGTGACCAGGTTGATGCTATAAAATTAATTAATTTGTTTTTCATTTCAGAACCATTGCCAACTATCTTGTCTGGAGAGTGTTGAAAAATCTTGTAATTGCTTTACCAAAGGAGTTTCAACAGCTACAAGAAAAATTCAAATATGTGAGTTTTCGAGAAGGACCGTATCTTTGATTACCATTTCCTTTTTATAACAAAATACTCAAAAATAAAAACTGTTATATCTGTTAAAATGGAGTCGTATGGTACGTGATCAAAATGAATGAAATGGCTTTATTTTCATTTCTAGGCGGTAGATGGCACCACCCGTATGTATAGCAGGTGGTATAGATGTGTCACTCTCGTCAACGACAATATGGGTCTGGCAGTCGGGAGGTTATTCGTGGAGAAATATTTTGATGAGGAATCCAAAACGGAGGTCGAGATCTTTTTTCTGACATAACTTTCATCCTTGTATAATTTTCACTATCTGTCATCGATTCTGTACTGCACCAAAACCTTATTTATTGAACAAACGTATCATTTGTCTACCCGATGTTTCCAATTCAAATGAAGACTCAAATATAAAACGATCAGTAAAAGTCTATAATCTGTATTTCTCACAGACAAAATGGACTTCTGTTTAGTGATCTCTTTGCAGGATTAAATCTTATCGTGTAATGAAAGCTACATTGCTTTTGAACTGTAATGATTCATTCATAAGTTCACGCCTATATCGTTTTATCATTTTATATTCTAATAAAAAATCTGTATTCTAGATTGCCTCGTTTTTGCTTCTGTAGGCATTGGACATGATTCACAAAATTCGAAACGCATTCGTGAATAATGTGAAAGAATCAGTCTCGTGGATGGACGAAAAGACCAAAGAAGTGGCCACAGAAAAGGTGCTAGTTATCTTTACAATTATACCACCTAGAGTTAATATTGTATAGAAAAAGATAATCGGAAGTTTTGTTGTCTTAATAAAATGTCTTATCTACTGGAGTATTCCAAATGCTTTAATTCAGTTTTTGAAATGAAAACAAACATATTGACACATTTACTATATTTTTCCTCGAACGTCTCTGTCAGGCGGCAACAATGTTAGAGAAGATCGGCTATCCACCTTATGTACTGAACAACAAAGAATTAAACGCAAACTACGAGCAGGTAATTATCGTATTTTATGAATGAGACTGAAAATTTGCTGTAAATTGAGGGCCATATCAAATACTGCATCGTGCCCATGACATGCAATAACAAACGTTCAATGTCTTCAACAGTGTTCATAAGCATTCAGAACGAAACGTTAGTAATTTTGAAAACTTTACAACATTTTTATTGTCTTATTTAGTGTCATCTAAAATTTTGTAACATTATTTTTAAGTTGACCATCAGCGCGGACAATTATTTTGAAAACATGTTGGCTTGTTTTCGACATACTGCCATCCATGATTTAAAGCAGCTATCATTGACACCTAACAGAACTAGGTAAATGGCAAAAAAATTGTTTTTCTCTTAACCCCTTTAGTAAATATATATTAGATGCCGCTTTACTACTTTGTTTGAAAATATTGGTTGAAAAAACATTTTGTTATTTCATTCTATTCAACATCGACAGACATTTATAATCATTAAAAACCATTACATGTTCTTCTCGCTGCAATTATTTTTAATCGATTGATTGGGATTGTTTCTATAGTAATAACGTAAAATATTTCAGTTTTGATATTTAGCCACTAAGATATTTGCGTCTGTAATTAATCCAAATGATCCTCCTATTTCAGATGGGAAGACATCAACATCGTGATGGTAAATGCTGCGTATTCCCCCAACAAAAATCAAATTTGTAAGTAGGCAACAGTGCTCATTTTTGGTCTTAAATTTATATGCGTGCATTAAAGAATATGTTCAAGGTCGTCACACCCAAACCCAACATTGAGGTGCATTTCACATGCTGAAGAGCCAAAAACAAAAGAAATGAAGTTGTATTCAATTTTTTAAAACATAATATTGTAAGGAACAAAAATCCAATAATCAATTTTTATTTTTTACCATGTCATTACATTTAAGTTTAATTTTCATACCATGTTCCGACATATTTTGTAGTGGTTCAGTCATGGTAAATTGTACATGACGCAAGGATGTTTTTTATAAATATTTAAACTGTAACTCAAGGGGCTTTGCGTCATGGCTAATAGGCCCTACTACGTAACGTATGTTCCCCAGGAAAATTGTCAGAAAGTTTCATTTTGTCTAAGTACTTGTATCAACTACTTCTATGTTCTCGTTTCAGTGTTTTCCGCTGGGATGCTACAGCCGCCTTTTTATAGTAAATATTATCCAAGGTAAGAGAGCTAATTTAAGTAGCTTAAAATTTAAATTGCTGTAATTTATTAAGGTGACAGGCGTTCCTGGAGGTTCCTAAAGGTTTATTTCTGATTTAAAACACCTCCATATATTGAGGTGTGAAGAAAATAAAATATTTCAGCGGACGTGAAAATATACTGACGCCACTGTTTTTGTGTGTCCTACATTTTATTATATTTATCAATTGTCCCCATTCTCCAATCTCTCACATTCTCCGATCTCTCTTGTACATACATCGGAATGTATACACTTGACCAGTAATTACCTTTCTTTGTATTACAGGTCAATGAACTTTGGCGGTATAGGTATGGTGATCGGACATGAAATCACACACGGTCTTGACGACCAGGGTAAGCGATGGAAACTGGGTTTATTGTTTACTAGAGTATATTTTTGACACCCTGGGTGGATGGTTGAAGGATTAAAAATTTTAATATAAAAATCATCAGATACAAACTACAATTACCACACTTTAGTTTGTAGTGATGCTCAGGTGGTCAGTGGCTTCCAAAGTAAACAAGGTTTCGGTTTTGCATGCTCCGACGTCCCCATTTACAGTATTTACATACTGTACTTGCAATAATCATAAATAGCATTTACATATATTCTTTCAACGTTTAGCATTTTTTTAAAAATTTATTTGAAGGTCGTCTTTACGATAAAAATGGCAACTTGAGGGAATGGTGGGATGAAACAACGTCGGAACGCTTTAAGGAAAAAGCAAGATGTTTCATCGAGCAATATGGAAATTACACAGTGGAAGATGTCAATATGAAGGTGTCTATCATGTTTCATATATTTTGCATAGTAATTCAGTATATAATAGAAAATGTCGCAATTCTATGTTATTTCATCATCTCCTCGTGTGGTTTTCAGTCAATTCCAGTGAAATCTTACACACAAAAAGACTTCACCTTTTGCACCTGAACTTTTTTCTCTCTTTTTTGTTTTATCATATTCTAATAATCAAAGAGAATTAATTTGTCTATAAGCAGTACGGAATTCTTTTAATGCTTTAATTCAGTTTTGATGATAGCTGACCTTAACATGTACCCGTATGCCAAGGTACATGTACATATATATAGCGATTAGTACATGTGTAGTCCCTGTCGCTGTATTAGTGAAAAGGGAACTCTGTTGGGCTGTCTGATACGAGTAGCAGTTAGTTTAAACTACTTGATTTTGAACGTATTCTTTTTATTTATGAATTCATGTGGAATGTTTTTTCTTAATAAAATTTTCAAAAGGCCATTTTAAGAAATTATTCTCGAATTTCAAGAAAGAGTTGAGGTAAAACCTTCTTGTGCTCGAAGTCTAATTCTGCGACATTTTAAAATTTTGTGCCCATCAAGTTGCTGCCATGGAAACTTATTTCGTGTTTTTCCCCATTTCTTCTCCGGCAAAGCCGTCCTGTGGGGGGTATGGATAGTTATTGTATTATTGTAAGTTTTTATTCAAGTTGATGCCCTTGTTTTACGAGCGATTTACAGATATTTAGCAGTAATGTAGCGACGCTATTTCTTTAAGACGTCATCTCCACATACTAAGCTTTTATCTCATGAATTATCTTACAGAAAACCAGTGCTATGGGGAGGGGTTTTAAATATTTGCATTTTTTTTTCAGATCAACGGTAAGCTTACGCAAGGGGAAAATATTGCCGATAATGGCGGGTTGAAACAAGCCTTTCAAGTAAGTTTTAGAGGGGAAAAAGGTTCCCAAATAATATATATCAGCAGTAATAAATTAGGCTAGCTCTTTTGTTACCAACTGAATAACGAAACACAACGACCTAATAACACAAACATGATGACATGTTACAGTTTAAGTAGCAAATAGTTGAGAAAAATAATTATGATCATTATTTTGACAAATTTTAGAAGTTTCAAGAATATCCATGCGGTCTACATAATCGCGTAGACAGAGGGATCTTGTATCATTTTCTATGATAACTTATGTAATTGTCCTAGGCGTACAGAAACTGGGTCAGTAAGCGTGGGCAGGAAGAGGAGAGACTGCCGGGATTGAACATGAGTCACAATCAAATTTTTTTCCTCAGTTTTGCACATGTAAGCCACAACTTTTCCTTTCAAATATTCTGGCCTTTTACTAAGTTGATGTACATTAAAATATAAAGTCACTGTTCCTGAAAGCAAAACAGGAGTTTTCTTGTGTTGAAATAGTGTTGTGATCTAAGATCAAGTAAATTAAATTTAGTGACAGCTTGTTTGAAACCCGTACAAATTGATCTGACAAAATAAGCATCAAAGTTTTTCAAATCATAAGGTTCACCTTAGTTGTGGCTGATCTATTTAATGTTTGAATACCGTACTTCTGTATTGTTTCTTTTATTCTCCAGATGCTATGTGGTCATCAGCGTCCCAAGTCCACTGTGGACCAGATTAGAACGGACACTCACACCACCTTAAAATACAGGTAAGAATGGCCATTGGCGCGGGGGGGGGGGTTCTAAAATTTGCCATTTGTTTCTTTTAGCAAGGAAGTAAGGTCTACCACGAAATTTGACCTTCAAGACCAGAGTGTTTGGCTGTTGATCTTGTTGTCAAAAGTAGTACTTAACAAACTCTGTAATGATATTATGACTTAGAGGGGGGTCGGAGGAAGTCCTGACTCCCCCCTTCAGTTTCTGAAAAATATATCACACCAATATACCCCTCTTGAAATTAGACCCTGTCTAATCCTCTTTCGAGATGGAGACTTATTGTGCCTTCAAATAAATAGACTATAATTCAAATGAAAATGATTTCAACAGCAACCCCTCAAACAAAATGTGCCGAACCCGTTGTGATTTGCATAACAGTAAGTCGCTCAGCGCAGTGCGCACTACTCGTACCTTCTTGACTGGTCACTTGACAGCTGCACACTGTAAGGACAGGATGCTGATATGTGTGTTGAAGTCGCAGAGCCGGAGTTTACATTCAGCTTCGAAAATTGTAACAAATTTGTCATGTGAGTAAACGATTTTCATGTTTTTTTACGAGTTCAAACTACCAGATAATTGTTTCTTATTATTTTTCTCGTTCTAAACTTTAAGTTGGCCTGAGTAGTTGACTGGATTTGAGAAAAGTTGCATAGTGATATCTTTAAAAATCTTGAAAAGCACGTGCTGCCAGTAAAAACAGAAATATAATATAAAGAAAGTTATATTAGATAGTTTGATTTTTGGTGCCCAGATGCTGTCACTTCAATGCCAGTCAATATTCATAATTAGGCCACCTGAACACATTTTGTATTTTAAACACTTCCATAGTACATGTAATTGATGTATTAGTGTGCACCTTCTCAGATGCCTACATTACAAACTGATTAGTATAACAGTGCATTTAGTTTTACCAGTATTGTATAAAAGATTTCCATATTTTTTCCATTCACGATGACTTGTTTGTGTATGTTGGCCGTCTAGACTCTAATGCTTTGACTTAGGGTTATTGTAACCCTTTATTATCATCCAGATACCAAAAATGAGTTTTTTTCTCTAATCATCAATAATGCATCTATCTTTGCGCTGATTTAAAATGATAAAAAACCTCCAAAATATAAAATATCGGCGTTTATATTTTTTCGTTGCCATGTGTAGGCATAGGCAACTCAAAGCTCTAATCGTCAATTTAACTCCTTTCTATTTTGAGGTAAGATTGCAATCGGTATGGAGCGTAACTTCATCCCTGAACAAGATTTTTCGGTTTCTCGCAAAACTGCAATTAACTTAAGCGGCTTAGATGTCTGGCACGCCTAGTGAAGCTGCTAAACAATTATTTATTACCCCCTAGCAGCTCCAATAGGCGTGACAGACATCTAAGCCGCTTACGTTGATTGCAATTTTGCGAGAAACCCCTCTGAGACAGATCGATTCAAAGTTACTACGATAGGGTCTGGAAATGGTCCCTTTACCTTGAAAACGATTTCCAAAAGTATTGGCCGCATTATTTCTTGTGATTCTTCTCTTCGTTAAATATATTTTTTTAATCTTGCATACAAACCCTGTTTAGTCGAGTTTTTAAATTTGGTGTTCAGTTAGCCTCATTATGATTTTTTTCGGCATGAGCAGAGGTTTTTCCATTTTCAGTTAATCTAATCTTTATTCGGATTATCTGCTTTCGAAGATTGAAATGTCATTTAAATGTTATTTTGATATTTCAGAACTGCAAACGCCTTTGCCGAGATCCGACAGAGTGCACGTGCGCCTGACTAAAGCTTTCCTGGTCTTCGACACGTATTTTAAAATCTGCTGCAGATCCAGATCCATTCGCATCGCAGATGCTATATGTTGAAAATTGTACATGGTCTCTCTCTCTCTCTCTCTCTCTCTCTCTGTGTGTATTTTTAAACACGTTTTTACACATTGAAACTGTGCACTGAGATATTGTTGCCTTTAGATATTGTATTTACAAATCGATCCTTTGTTTATTATATATATTATACCCTAAGGACTGATCACGATATTTTAAAAATTATACCTGTGCATTATTTTATTTGGAACCAATCCAGCTTCTTTTAAAATTCATCTCATTATGCCACAGTGCAATTATTAAAGTGTTTAAAATGGCATGATGTTATTTTCAGAGTGTTTGCAAATCTCAAATTTCAAAGTTGAGAGCAAAAACGCAATTTTCACGATGTTGAAGCTCGTTTGAGATATTATTATAATTTGCATTGTATAAGTCAATTTTTATTGTTAATATTTACACTTGTGAATGACAAGCAATTTATGAAAATAAATGCACTTTTTGGGGGGTAGTTTTTGATTCAATCTCAAATAGACAATATTAAAGTAAAATTGATATGTACTGAATTTTTAGAACCAATACTATACTATATTTTTGTTCTCCAGATTAAGTGTTCTCCAGATTAAGTGAACAATTTGGAATTAAAACAAAGCAGTTTCATTATAATGGCACGAGTTATTACTATAAGTGAATTCTGTAGGAGCCAATTTTCAGATTTATCATTTCCGGTCATATTCAACAGCTTAATTTCGCCTGTCGGCCTATTCTTTGTCCAATGAATCCAGTCTTGTTCAAAGACTGTTCTATTTCCTCGTTATCTTTTATTATTCGAGCACATGAATCCTCTAGTAAATATTGAGTTGTTTCTTCGTGGTTTTCTGTCGTTAAAGATATCATATAATAAATAATATATTGAAAATTTGTTCTTTACTTGTTGATTGAAATGAATGACACTCGTTATGACTGCACTGATATAAGTGAGAGAAAGAAACGTCTCGTCTTTGGGCGAGTCTATCAAATTTGAGGGATGAAAGGTGGGACAAGTCCATTCGATTCGAGGGGCGTCAGATGGGGCGAGTTCACTCCATTTAAGGGGTAACAGGTGGGGGGAGTTCATTCCATTTGAGGGGCGACAGGTAGGACGATTCCATTCCATTTGAGNCGGGTGACAGGTGGGGAGAGTTCATTCCATTTGAGGGGTGGCAGGTGGGCTGACCCCATTTCATTTGAGAAGTGACATGGATGTTGCTACAAACAAATTTAAATCTTATGAATAGATTGTAAGATTGTAAAGTTATACTTTAAATTGAAATTTAGATATTCTTTTAGCGGGTTAGACCTTTTATGTCCAATTTTATTTTTACAAAATACTGTGCATAATTACAATGCTTCAAACCATTTCAAACCAATTCAATTTTAAATATTGCCTGGTTTCATAGAAAACCGTCATCCCCAAAAGAACATTACACGATTTTTCCAGATTGAACTTGAAACAGTTATCATATCTATGTAATCTTTCCCCTTTTCCCATTTTAATATTGCTGTACTCTGTATTTTATATCAATACCGAAAAATAACGAGGAATTATAAAAATATTTATTCAGGTTTGATATATGAGATACATGAAATTGAGCATGATATATGTCAACCAAAGACCTTGTTGCTTGCAGGCCCATGTTGCAGCTTCTCCGTGGGCTTCTGAAATGACAAAATAACGCATAGAAATTTTGATTCAATTGACAGACTGAAATCATTTTGACTTGTTCTAGAGAAGCGCAAAACATCTTATTTCGACGTGTTCTTTTGAGAATATATGAAATAAATTACGGATAACTTGGATGAAAGTACAATCAAGTCTTAATATACATGTATTTGGTCGTATAATGGAGGGACAGAATACTGCACAATGGAGATGGAAGTCAACCAGCGTAAAACTTTCATCTGTAAACCATCGCTTTATTAGCAATTGACATGTGCGTGAACGTTTGTTGTATTATATTAAAAACACTTACCTTACAAAAAGATCTTTGACAGCATGTAGATTTTTAAGCATAAATTGATTGCCCAAGTGTAATCTGAAACAAGAAAGAGAACTTTAATAGCTATATGGAGCTTTATTCTTGTAGTAATAATAATAACGATAAAATGATGTATCTTAAAAATTGCTAATTTTTCCCAGGTGAAATGATCAATCCATTACAGAACATAAATATAAACCAAAATAAATCGTTGAAAACCATCGTAATTGTCTTCAAAAGCGAGGTTTGAAATTTGACTTGATGTACACCTTGATAGGGCAGACTTCTCCTTGTTGTATCCAAAACTCAGAACAATGACAAGAAATATTATCTTAATAAATCAGTCTTTTTGTGCAGTCATGTTTATATTTACACGAAAACATTTTAAATTAAGTCACAAATGGGCTTTTAATTGTCAGGGGTCATACAAAAAATTCCACACGTGCAGAACTAAAAATAGCTAGTTTGAAAGATTTCAAGCAAACTTATTGTTTCATCAATGGTCAGCTGATAGCACCATTTCTCCTGTACGTTTGTAGTCCCAAAGCACTTTAACCAACATATTCTGACATTGTGAGTGACATGCAAGTAACGATGGGCATAATATCACAACAAATCGCGCTACTTATATCTACAATAAATTTTCTCTTATTCGGTTGCACTTGTGTTTTATTGAGGGAGGTAATTGAAGAAGTAGTGTTACTTACCATATACGTGCTTCAACGTCTTATAAAAGCTGAAATTTGTGAATTCACCACACATAATGTTGCGTCTTCTCTCAACTGTGCCCAATTGCAGAGTGAGTATTCAGCTTGCACTACGACGGACAACTTATTGTTATGCAAATTACAACAGATTTGGCCCATTTTGGGTGAGTGGTTTTGGTTAATACTGCTCACCTTCAGCGGGCCCCGAACCCCTCGCCAAGAAGGGGGGGGGGGGCTTCGCATCCGCAGACCCTCCTTTCAAATAATCCTGGATCCACCCTTGCATCAGGCCTACATAGCAACCAATCGTAAAAAAAAAATGAATTCGGGTTTGCATGGACACAACAGCTAATATGTATGTGTATCATTCTGACTCAAGTTTATTGGATTATTTATATGCTTTTGATTTCTAATTTTAGAGTTATTGGATCTCTATCAAACTCAGCTGAATTTGCCGCAGCTTTCCAGTGCCCAGCGGGGAGCCCAATGAACCCCAGTAAAAAGTGCGTCATGTGGTGATGGAATCGTTACGGTTTAAACTAAGAAACTTGAAATTTGTAAATTAATCTTTATTGTTACTTTCAAAAGAAAATACGTGGCTATGATTTGACCATATTTATTTGACAAAACTGTTTTTGAGGTAAAGAGAAGGAAACATTTCTGCGAATATTGTTTGCTTATTACATGCATATAGGTATATAGTGGCTATATGCATGAAAATGCGCAATATTTTCGTACTGTTAAACAACGTTAATAATGCTGTTAACGTTATACTTATATATCATGTATTTTTGTATCTTATTGAACAATGCCGTTGAGCTATCAAGTTACTGTGAACTGTAGATATGAGTGATAAGCAGTTTAAAATTAAAAAACGAATTTGCGTTTTTGTGTTAGTCCAATGGTCATGGCTTTATCATAAATAAACAAAAAGGAAATGAAATGTTAAGTGTCTTATTTAATCGTCGTGGTCGGATACACAAAATAGCTCTATACAGAGAAAAAACGTTCACCCCCTAAACCGGCGATATGATGCCATCAGCAAAATGGCATGCTTTTTCTGAACACAAATAATGCCCTTACACATTAGTATATGATAATATCAAAATATTAACTTTAACATGAAGTAGATTTTAATCTGATTTTTGGTTAACAGGGTATATATAAACTGAAACAATTTTAACGTCTTCATACCACCGAGTGCATTTGCAATTAGATATAATTAGTGCATAATACCAATGCATATACACACACTGGACAAAAGAAGTGTCACCTCTACTGAGCCAATAGAATGGGGGAGATAAATGACTGTGGAATGATATGCTCCTGTATCATTTTATTAACATCAAATTTCACAAAAAATCACAAAATGAGAACAAAATATACATTCTACCAAAATATGCAGTTTCAAGTCCAAAATTAGTACTTAGTGGCATAGCCACGTGACCTAATAATAGGTGCCAGTCTACGAGGCAAGGATTCATATAATTGTCTGTTGCGTTCAAGGCTTATGCTGGCCCAAGCATGAAACACTGAATATAACAGAGTTTCTCTGCTGGTTAGACGGGCATTTGTCAAAAGTTTTGACATATCATTCCACACATTTTCTATTATGTTTGCTTCCGGACTCTGGGCAGGCCACATCACCCT